GACTGGTGCTATGATTTGAATCTATCCCCTCTGAAATTCATGTGCTGAAACTGGTGGCCAATAGGGTGGTATTAAGAGGAGGGGCCTTGGCCAGGCGCGGTGGGCTCATGCCTGTAATCCCAGCACTTTGGGAGGCCGAGGCGGGCAGATCACGAGGTCAAGAGATAAAGACCATCCTGGCCAACATGGTGAAACTCCGTCTCTACTAAAAAATACAAAAATTAGCTGGGCGTGGTGGTGCACGCCTGTGGTCCCAACTACTCGGGAGGCTGAGGCAGGAGAATCGCTTGAACCCGGAAGGCGGAGGTTGCAGTGAGCCAAGATTGTGCGACTGCACTCCAGCCTGGGCAACAAAGCAAGACTCCGTGTCAAAAAATAAATAAATAAAAGACAAAATTACCCAGGCGTGGTGGTGCACGCCTATAGTCTCAGCTGCTTGGGAGGCTGAGGTGGGAAGATCATTTGACCCTAAGAGGTTGAGGCTGCTGTTGAGTGTACCACTGCACCCCAGCCTGGGCGACAGAGCAAGACCCTGTCTCAAAAAAATAAAAAAGCCTTATGGTATGATTCTGCTTTTTTATCTTAGAAATGTAAAAAAAGTCTATACATAAAGAAAAACTTAGAAATATATATATCAAATCCTAACAGGGGTATTTGGAGATATTACACTGTTGTTTTTCTGAGTTTTTTTCCCTCTGCCATATTCATTTGCTGCAATTTCAAGATATCACTTAATGCTTACCATGAATGTCAGACACTGCATGAGCACTTTATCTAGGTAATGACATGACTGCATAGAAGTGTTCAAAGTCTTCTCCACTCCCAATCTAGCAAAAATAAAAGAGGGTAGAGAGAAAAAGAGGAAAAAATATGTTTTGTGGCAGACGAGGCTTGGCATTTGGGCAGAGAGGGCTGTGTTACAAAAATGAGTGGCAGTGGAAATTTTAATAAGAACTTTGACTTGTGTTATCAATCCACTCTGGGTATTGTGGGGTTTTTTTAATGCAAATAAAGGTTTAAACTGTGTTGCTTTTCGTGGCTGGTGCATTTTTCTTTTATAGAAGCATGACCTTGAGAATAAGCAACTCTGATTCTGGCTTTATAAAGGTTCAAAAACATGACTGCATTTTATCAAACACAAACACTGCCTCGAATTAGTAAGAAAAGCTGAATCATGCCAACAAATCTTGTCCATTTGCTGTTTAATAAAAACATCATCCTCTGCATAATTATTTACGTGCCCTTCATCTACATTTTCATCCTAATATACCTACAATACAAGTCTTGATCAAAATGTATTGCATTAAATTTATAAGCTGCACTGACTTCATATGTAGGTGTGGTAGCAGTTTAGAAACAATTGAAGATGCTGTTTTGGGAAAGTTTTCCAAGGCTGCTCAACTCTTCAGTGGAAAACCCAACCACACCCCAAAACCTCAGCTTTCCCGCTGTGCTCCTCTGCAACCATGCCGAACGTGTAGGTAATGTTTGTTCAGGTGGAAACAAGTGTATTGGAAGCAAGATGGGGGAGTGTTGAGGGGGGCTGAAAGGTTGGCAGAGCCCTGTCCATTTGGTTTCTCAGTCCCTCACTGTAGAGACCCTTAAGAGGATTTTAAGCAGCTCCAAAACCAATGTTTTGCAATAAAAGTATTTATCCAAATTTAAAACTTCTGTGCTGCAAACTGATAGTGATAAGAAAAATATTTTCTCCATAGAATTGGAGAAAATATTTGTAAGTTGTATGTCCAGTAAGAGATCTGTATCCAGAATATATTTTTTAAATCTTGTAACTGAATAAGAAGATAATGTTTAAATGGGCAAAGGAATTGAAGACATCTTTCTAAAGAAGATACACAAATGGCCAATAAGCACATGAAAATATGCTCAACATCATTATTCAGTAGGGAAAAGCCAGTCAAAAGCATGAGATTCCTATTTTGCATGCAACAGTTCAGCTCTAATAAAAAACAGGTAATAACACACCAGGCGCAGTGGCTCACGCCTGTAATCCCAGTGCACTTTGAGAGGCCGAGATGGGTGGATCACTTGAGGTCAGGAGTTCAAGACCAGCCTGACCAACATGGTGAAACCCCATCTCTACTAAAAAAAAAAAAAAAATACAAAAATTAGCTGGGCATAGTGATGCATTCCTGTAATCCCAGTTACTTGGAAAATTGAGGCAAGAGGATCACTTGAACACAGGAGGCAAGGTTGCAGTGAGCCTAGATCACACTACTGCATTCCAGCCTGGGCAACAGAGCAAGACTCTATCTCAAAACATAAAAAAACAAGTGCTGACAAAAATATGGAGGAGCTGGAGCCCTCATGCATTGTTGGAAGGAATGTGAAATGGTGCAGACACTTCGGGGAAAGTATATGACAGACACTCAAAACATTACACAGTTACCATGTGATCGAATGTGAAGTGCTTTCTCCTGCTAAGCACTTTCACTCCTAGGTATATACCCAAAAGAAATGAAAACATTTACAAATCTTGCACATGAATGTTCATAGCAGCATTATTCATAGTAGTCAAAAAACGAAAACAACCCAAATGCCCATCGATTGACAAATGAATAAAATGTGGTATGTCCATACAATGGAATAGTATTTGGGCCAGGTGCAGATCACAACTGTAATCACAGCACTTTGGGAGGCGGAGTGGATTCCTTGAGCCCAGAAGTTGGAGAGCAGGCTGGGCAACATGGCAAAATCCCATCTCATAACAACAACAACAAAGTATTCAGCCATCAAAAAAGATGAAGCACTTGAGTCCTACATAGAGTTGGGATTGACACATACAACTGACGAAACTTGAAAATAAGCTTGTCACAAAAGACCACCTATTTTGATTTTATTTATATGTAATGCCCAGAATATTTAAATTTATATACAGAAAGATTAGTGGTTGCCAAGCGCTAAGGATAAAGGAATGGGGAATGACTATTAATGGATACTAGTTTGTTTTAGCGGTGACAAAAACAACCCTGTGAATGTACTAAAATACTGTACCCTTTAAATGGATGAATTGTATTTATATCTCAATAAAACTGTTTTAAAAACTCAACAGGTGAGGCTGGGCACAGTGGCCTTGCCTATAATCCTAACACTCTGGAAAGCTGAAGCCAAGAGTTTGAGACCAGCCCTGGGCAACATACTGATACCTCATCTCTACAAAAAATTAAAAAAAATTAGCTGGGCATGGTGGCACACACCCATATTTCCAGCTACTGAGGCTGAGGTGAGAAGATCACCTAAGCCTGGGAGGTCAAGACTGCAGTAAGCTATGATCATGCCACTGCACTCCAGCCTGGAAAATAGGGCAAGACTGTGTCTTCAGAACAACACTAAACTTTAAAATTTTAAAATCAACTGGTAAAAACATTGGTAGGCCCTTCCTCCTGCTAAGCACTAAAAAAAATTCCACCTTGACCTGACTTCCTCTTCCTCAGTGCCACCTTTCTTGCACTAGTTTGCTTCCTTGCTCTTTCTCATGGGAGAAGGGAGGTACTGAGCTACTTCCAGTGCTGGCGCTCACATGGTGACTATGAAGTCAACCTAAATATACAACTGTGTTCTAAATTATCAAATGCCTATACATAATTCTAATACGGAAGCATTTTACAAACATACTCTAAAACAGGCACATGAGGGCGGGCGCAGTGGCTCATGCCTATAATCCCAGCACTTTGGGAGGCCGAGGTAGGCAGATCACAAGTTCAGGAGTCCGAGACCAGCCTGGCTAATACAGTGAAGCCCCGTCTCTAGTAAAAATGCAAAAACAATTAGCTGGGCATGGTGGCACTTGCCTGTAGTCCCAGATACTTGGGAGGCTGAGGCAGAAGAATCACTTGAACCCGAGAGGTGGAGGTTGCAGTGAGCCAAGATCACACCACTGCACTCCAGCATGGGCGACAAAGCGAGATTCTGTCTCTAAATAAATAAATAACTAAATAAATAAATCAGGCACACATGTGGATAAACACACATGTATATAAATGTACAGCTTTATATAAACGTTTTGCAAAAAAATTTTTTAATACTTAGAGCACAGACTAATAACCTCATTTATAAATGATAATATTTAATAACTGCTTTTGGTAACATCTATAATACACATTATAAGTTTCTTATTATATAAATCTCTTTTTTAATCTTCCTTTCTTGACTTTTCACCACTGGAAAATAAAACCAATGAGATTTTCAATATAATTTATTTTATTATTTTAGTGCAACAAAACATTTCCAGATTTATTCCCAATTTCAGTTTCAAAACAAACTGACATGAAATTTTTAGTATTTAATATCTGTGACAATGACCAATAAAATGTGCAAGAATATAAAAAATAAATTCATTCATACTCTAAATTCAATGCATAAGAAAAGAACCTTTTCTATCTAAAGCATTTTCCTAAAACTGCAAACTAAAAATCTGTCTATTTCAAACACTTACGTGGTAAAATAATCTGATTTGATTATGGATATCATAAATAGAATATAAAAGATACTGTATTTCTTCAAATACTGTTTGTTTCACTGCATTCAATTTTGAGTTTTCTAACATTCATTCTACAGGTCAATCAAAATACAAAGGCGTGCAAATGAAACAAGCTATTGAAATGAAATAAAATTCAAGAATAAAAGTTAGAATAAACTTATGAGGTAACTTTTATGTGCGCAAACATCACAGTTGTAAGAAATGCCTCTCTTTACAAAGTCATTAAGATGTGTATTTTCACAGAGCCATTGTTTCACGAGCCCAAAGTCAAAATAAAATGCCATGCTTCCTGGAATATTAAATAGCATGTAGTGTATTATTTAAGAAAAGAAGAGGGTTAACTAACTAAAAGCACAACTCACTTATTTTTTGCTTTCTAGCCAATTAAAAATAAGTTAATTAAAAGCACTTGAAATTATGCATTTAACCAAAAAAAAAAAAAAAAAAAAAAAAAAAAAAAAAAAAAAAAAAAAAAAAAAAAAAAAAAAAAAAAAAAAAAAAAGTTGCTAAAATTCCAATATAAATGTAAATATCTGTAACTAGCTTAACCCATCTACCCCCAAAACAGTGTGGTGGGGCAAAATGTGCAAAACAAAAATCATCCAGTGCATGTAGATGGGCACCAAGAAGCTAAGCTTCCCAGAGCACATCAGAGCTGCCAAGCGACTGAATTCACACGCTCCTTTTCTGGGGATGAAAAGATCTGACAAATACACAACTGAGATTGCGTATTTGGCAGATCTTTCTACACAACGGAGAGCTCCTAAATCAAGTCAAAGGGGACCATCGTACTGAAATATTCCGTATTTCCCAGTGGTCCACCAGCTGGGCTCAGAGGCCATAAGCTGCTCCCCTTGCCCAGGCTGCAGACCAACCTGAGTTTCAGCTTTTAATGTTCTTATGGCACAGAGGGGTGCAGGATGGAAGCCATTCAGAGCCTGATGAAATGGAACAGAAAACTCCCATTTTCTGTCACCTGTCAACTTCCTGTAATTCAAATCGCCCTTGAATAAAATTAAATGTGCCTTCTGTAGTTCAGCATATAAGTCGGGAGCAACCTGAGGCATTGCACAGTACTCATGAGGCAGAGTCCAAAATATATGATCGTGGTAAACCCATTTACCCATTTTAATATAGTCTTCCCAGTCAGCCCCACACTTGGACATCCATTTATGATTAGCATGTTTTACCTGTTCAATTAACCAATTAAAATCATGTATAGTAGTATCAGAAACAAACCATGGAATCATTTTTCCATAAAAATGAACCTCAGTAGCCAGTTTAGAGGACAACAAGAAGTTGGCTAATATTAAATCTGTAACAAGCTCAAACCCAGAATTATCGAGAACAATATACACACTAATAACAGAAGCTTTTTCTCTTGTTTTCTTGCAGTTCCTAAGCAATGACCAAAGATGTTCCACATCATTCACTAAAATGAAAGGTTTTAGGTTTTCCAATGAATTGACTACATCAGTCTTCTGAGAACGACTTTCTCCACCTGAGAGAGACAGATCACACTTATTTCCCCACAGCGAAATCTGAAAAAGAAAAAGTACAAAATATTCACCCTTCTTCTGAAAAGCTAACAAAACTCTATTATCTGTGAGGGGTGTGTTGTTAAAAAAATAATAAATATCTACAAAACTCTTTAAATGCCCATCAAATCTATACTTTCTCTAACAATGCATAGACTGTTTCACATGATGCTGACTGACAAGATAAAACTAAAATTTTTAAGCCATCAGCATGTAATGAGCTTAAAAAAACGGGTTTTAATTATTTTAACACTCACATTGTTTATTGAGAATAAAAGTTTTGCAGCTTGCAGATATTAGAACATCATCAGATGCTGTGAAGAGAGGCTCAAAGCTGACCACATAATCCAGAGTCAAGAGAAAAAATAAAAGTTTATTTTTGCTCCTGGTCCCTACAGAACTGTCCAGTTTCTTCTGCCAACTGCGTAACCTTAGGACATGATCTCTCTCTGAGATTTAGTTCTATCATTTGTAAAATTTTAAAAACTGTATAAGGTAATATCTAAAGATGCTACTCTTTAAAAAAAGTCATGTTAACTAAACACCCATTGTAATCAATTGTCTTATTCAGCTTTAAACTGAAGTAATACTCAATTATATTTTGCAGAAAATAGTATGCAGGCTTTTTTTTTTTTTTNTTTTTGAGACGAGTCTCGCTCTGTTGCCGAGCCTGGAGTACAGTGGTGTGACCTTGGCTCACTGCAACCTCTGCCTGCTGGGTTCAAGCAATTCTCTGCCTCAGCCTCCTGAGTAGCTGGGATTACAGGTGCCTACCACCAGGCCCAGCTAATTTTTGTATTTTTAATAGAGATGGGGTTTCACCTTCTTGGACAGACTGGTCCTAAACTCCTGAACTTGTGATCTACCCGCCTTGGCGTCCCAAAGTGCTGGGATTATAGGCGTGAACCACTATGCCCAGCTGTAGGCCTATTTTTTTAAGCCATAAAATTAAACGTTTAAGACTGCAGGCTCTGGAGTCAGACAGATCTAGGTTCAAACCCAGCATCTTCAATTTGTGATCATTGACAAATTACTTAAGATCTCTCAGGCTCAAGATCTGCAACTGAAAAATGAGATACTACTACTTACCTCACAGAATTATTAGAATTGATATAATGCACGTAAATAATGTACCAAATACCTTGCATATAGAAATACTCAATATACACTAGCCAAAACAGACTCTACTCTCATTTGTGATTTTTTTTTTTTTTGAAATAAAGATGGAGTCTCATTGTGTTGAGCAATCTGATTTCCATCTCCTGGCTTCAAGCAATCCTCCTGCTGTGGCCTCCCAAAATGCTGAGATTATAAGCATGAGCCACCTTGTCACGCCCTCATGTGTGATTTAAAATAAGGAGAATGCATGTTCCAACCAACAGGTTTTTGGTTTTTTGGGGTTTTTTTTGGAGATACAGTCTCCCTCTGTCACCCAGGCTGGAGTGCGGTGGCATGATCTTGGCTCACAGCAACCTCTGCCATCCAGGTTCAAGCAATTCTCCTGCCTCAGCCTCCTGAGTAGCCGGGGTTACAAGCATATGCCACCACGACCAGCTAATTTTTGTATTTTTAGTAGAGACAGGGTTTTGTCATGTTGGACAGGCTAGTCTCAAACTCCTGACCTCAAGTGATCTGCCTGCCTCAGCCTTCCAAAGTGCTGGGATTACAGGCGTGAGCCACCATGCCTCGCTGAATAGTATTATTTTAAAAAGAGAAAAATGAATAAATTTAAAAAAATAATAAGGCTTAAATAATAACTAACGTGTCCCAGGTCACCCTTTTCTAGAGTTTGCTGAAGAAATACATACAGTGGTGGCCATAATGGCCTTCAGCAACCGAGAGCAGGTTCTGTGCTAGCCTCCTGCACTTTCCCTTCACTCCATCTTCCAGTTTAATGACAGTTCTTTGTGCACCTATGTGATTGTCTATATTCCCTCAAGATTACAAGTCTTGACAGGGAGGATCAGCCCGTTTTGTTTAGTTTGGTTTACCACTACATGCCCAGCACCCAGAATGGCAACTGACACAGTATCCCCAGAAATGTGCGTGTGGACAGTGGGAGGGTGCTGTGACTTTTGAAAACAGATCAACATTCTCTGCAAACTAGAATGTCTTCAAGCTTCCCTTGAGACGTTAACCTGTGGCTCACTGTGGACACCAAGAGAAGGCTGAGGCAGGGGAATCGCTTGAACCCAGGAGATAGAGGCTGCAGTGAGTTGAGATCACGCCATTGTACTCCAGCCTGGGCGACAGAGCAAGGCTCTGCCTCAAAAAAAAAAAAATTCTGACAATTTTTCTTCTGAACCAAAAATACGCCTTTTTTGTGACTTTGCTTGCCCTTGAAGTCTCAACAGGACATTGTTGCCACCTAGAATCGGTTAGCAAGTTCTGTAGCTTCTATGTTCAAAGAACACTCAGGCTCTGGGGATGTCGCTACCTCTTATGCTACTAACTTGGCCTCAACCTACCTCCCCAAGTTATTTTCACACATTTTCCCCATTTCCACCCTCACCCCTGGCAGTCTATTCTCAGAAACATTCCTTGAAATAGTTAAATAGCATTACCTCTCTGCTCAAAACCCTCTGATGGCTTATTTCGATTTTAGTAAAAATTTATTTAATACAAGCCACTCTGTGTGCCTTCCACCCTCCTCTCTCTCAGCAACTACAGGGTTCCCTGCAATTTTTCTCACCTCCCTACGTACTGTCCAGACATGCACCTGACCTACTCCTTCCCCACTTCAGGTCTGTGGCCTCATCCTCCACAGCCCCTTCCCTGGCAGCCCTGATCCCCCTCCCCAACATTCCCGATGCCCTTTTCCTGCTTTATTTCTCTTCATAGCACTTTCGAAAATTTCTTTTTGAAAGTCTTCCTTTTTCTGGAAAATATGAGAGCTAAGGATATTGCTATGTACCACGTGTTTCCTAATAGTTCTAATTCTAATAATGTGTTGTAAGTTTCAGGATGTTTGCATGAATTAAAAACGAAACAATACTAAGATAAACGAAGAAACGTAATGAAACTGTATTAATGGGCCAACTGACTACCCCAGTATGATCATCCACTGATGATAACAGCAGGCTATAGCCCAGTCTCTGTGCTCAGCATTTCTCATGCAAGAATCTAGTGGAATTCTCACATCAGATCACAAAGTATACATTATCCTCCGCATTTAACAGAGGAGGAAACTGAGGCCCAGAGAAATTAAGTGACAGGCCTCAGGTCCAAAGACAAATTAGCCACAGAGCCAACACAAAGCCAAGCCAGCTGGGAGACCAAATTACTATCAAATATTCTTTCAAGCATGACGAAAGCTGAGCAAATTACTGTGAAGTATTCTCTTAAGTATGAAAGAAGCTAGGAAGTCAGCTAACTTCTTTGTAACTAAGATCATGGCCAGTCAGAGCAGAAAAGATTTCAAACCCATTTCTAGAAATTAAATGGATTTTCATCTCTTAACACCATTATATTAGATAAAAAATGATCAATTATAGGAATGAGAAATATTTATATGTTTTGTTGTTAACTGTAAAGCAGTTTGTTTTCTGTTTAAATAAAATACACTCAGAAGATTAATGATCACATTTACCTGCAGAAGTTTAAAAAACTCATCTTTCAGCTGATTTTCATCTAGGTCTTCAATAGTTGTTATCAATTGTTGCAGGTGACTACATAGAGCAATGATAGATTCCTGAGACTCATAGAAATTTTGCTCTTTTGATTCTTTAAATACATCAAAGTAATTGATTGGTGGACTAAAGTAGGAGAAAAACAAAAGTGAAACATTTTAGTATGCACATCTAGATACCTGCAGTTCATGAAAGAAAATAGCACCGTACAGTCTCAACAATTAGTGCTAATAGAAACGAGACGTAACATTTATCTAATTGACTAGAAAAACTTGATTAATACTAAATAATCAATTACACAAAAATCTCTCAAACTCATTTTAATTGTCAAAAGTTCCCCCGAAATCAACTGTTTTTCTGCAAATATTAAATAATGATAGTGACTATGTTCATAATTATTTACCCAGCAGGGATTCCAGACAAAAGGAGGAGAAAGATAAATTTCAAGACAACTGCTTTAGTTCAGCATTTTTTTTCAAGTTCTAGTAATGTGGCAAAGTTCTGGTAACAAATTCATGAATATAAACACAATATATGTATACAATGCAGCAATCATTGACAGAATCAAACACAGAGTATGCTAGAAATATGAGTACTTAGATAAATCAGACTTAATACTATTGTAAGTTTTAAAAGAATAATTTTTGATCACTAATATTTAGGTATTTTGGGGCAACTTTAACCAAAGGTGATATATGGGCCATGGCTACACTTTCATGTTTTCCAATAAGAGATTAAATCATATTATATTGGTCTAAGAAAATCATAACTAAGAAAATATAAATACTAATATAATAACCTTTACAGAATTGAATATAAAAGACATTCAGAGTATTGGGTCTTCTAAATTAGCTACTTTTTCCATGGGCCATTCATGTTAGGGCAAAAACAATGTAAGACTGATGTAATGGGACTGATTTGATTTTTTTTTTTTTTTAAATAACATACCAGTATTTAAACATCCGAATGATAGATGCCTCCTTCCGGCCAGTCAGTAACCTCAGGAAGCTACACCCTTATTCCAAGGGCACTGCCATTGCTCAGAGCACTTTTGGAATTCCTCTTTTGGAATTTTCTTCAGAACCTGTGGCACATCATTAAACCTCCTGTCAGTGATCACGTGTCTTTATCTTTTAGTCAATTTATTTTTGGAAACAGCCAAAAGTCACTCGGAGTGATTTTAGTAGAATGAGATGTGTGATCAAATTGAATAAAAACTTTTTTTATCAAAAACAAGTAACTAAAAAAACAGTAAGACTAATTTTCTTTCTGAAGCATGTAAACTGGCTCTGAAAGAAGTTCCATATAATTCAAAGATGTTTTTAGCAATGGTAGCACTGCTGAAATCAATCAGTCTCTCAAGGTGACTTAAAAGGATAAAAATCATTCGGATGCACAGACCCAATCCGGCCACCACCTGTTTTGTCTGACTCACATGCCAAGAATGGTTTTTATATTTTTGAATGGCTGAAAACAAAGTGAAAGAAAAGTAGTATTTTGTGACACATGAAATTCAAATTTCAGTGTCCATTAAATAAAGTTTCTTTAGAACACAGCCATGCTTGTTCATACATATTATTTAAGGCTGCTTTCACACTGCAATCACAGAGTTCAGCAGCTTCAATGGAGACTACATGGCCTCCACGCCTAAAGGATTTACTACCTGGCCCTTTACAAAAAGTTCTAATAACACATGTTCTGATGTCTTACTAACAAATCATTCATTAGTTTAAAGTCACACCTCATATTAAGAATGAGCCTTATTTCATGCATTTAAGAGAATAAACGTACATTAGCTATATATAAATTCTCATTTTAGAATGTTTGCTATTTTAGAATCTACTAAAGCTGTGTATGTACACATACTATGACCCAGTGATTCACTTCTAGGGATATACCCAACAGATGTATTCACACATATGTTTACCAAAAAAGTGTTAGAATGTTTATAGCAGCATTCTTCGTAATAACTCCAAACTGAAAACTACTCAAATATCCAGCACAATGAAGTAAACAGATTGTTATATGTTCACATAACACAATATTATAAAGCAATGAGAATGAATGATCTATAATTATATTGTAACATATGGATGAGTCTCACAAACATAAAAATGAGTAAAAGAAGCCAGAAACAAAACTATGTACTGTATCATTTCATTTCAGTAAAGTTGAAAAACAGGCAAAACTAACACATAACACAGGTCAGGATAACAATTATCCTTGAAAGATAATGATGGCGGCAGCGACTTGAAGGGAACTCAAAGTGGACTTCCAGGCACCGTAAGGTTCTGTCTCTGTTTTTGTTTTTGTTTTGTTTTGTTTTGAGATGGAGTTTCACTCTTGTTGCCCAGGCTGGAGGGCAGTGGCTCGATCTTGGCTCACTCTAACCTCCACCTCCCAGGTTCAAGCGATTCTCCTGCCTCAGCCTCCTGAGTAGCTGGGATTACAGGCATGTGCCACCATGCCTGGCTAATTTTGTATTTTTAGTAGAGACAGGGATTCTCCACATTGGTCAGGCTGGTCTGGACTTCCCAACCTCAGGTGATCCGCCTGCCTCGGCTTCCCAAAGTGCTGGGATTACAGGCGTGAGCCACCATGCCCGGTTGGGTTCTACCTCTTGATCTAGGCACTGGGTACACAAGTATGTTCTTGAACACATATGTGCATTTTTCTATATGTATATTACATTTTATTAAAAATTTTTTTAAACCTAGTATTTCCTCTGTACTTTCATCTTTCAATATCTGAAGTATATTTACTAAATATGTTTAAATTTCACATATGGCTAAAACTTTGAATCTTAATTTAGACTGGCAGACTATCAAAGCATGTTTCAGTATAAAATGGTACATCAACATAAACATGTCTGCTATAAAAGTTGGTCAGTTTGGAGTTCCACTGACCTAGGATAGGAATCCCTGTACAAGAACCTGAAAAATTAAGACATTTAAGAACTACTTCCATGCTAGCTCCATTGTATAGATAGTTCTTTATCTGCCACAGAAATGGCTCTGGGAAGAGTTCTACATCTGTGACTGTGTAACATTCTAGTTTCTGGAACTTAAAGCTGCATTTTTTTCCTATATCCTAGTTCAGCAAACTGTTTGCTGAACCAGTGGATATCATCACTCCCTGAGCTGCCAAAAGAAAAACTGATACCCAGGCCCCACCCCAGATAAATTAAGCAATCTGTATTTATTGCAACATAATAATCTAAAAATATGTGGGGTTTTTCAGATTTTTTTTTTTTTTTTGAGTCAGAGTTTCACTCTGGTCGCCCAGGCTGGAGTACAATGGCACACTCTCTGCTCACTGCAACCTCCACCTCCTGGGTTTAAGTGATTCTCTTGCCTCAGCCTCCGGAGCAGCTTAGATTACAGGTGCCCACCAGCATGCCTGGCTAATTTTTGTATTTTTAGTTAGAGACAGGGTTTTACCACGTTGGCCAGGTTGGTCTCAAACTCCTGACCTCAGATGATCCACCCACCTTGGCCTCCCATTTTGCTTTTAGATCAGAAGTTCCAATACCTACCTATCAGCAAAAACAAACTGTGATGTAAAATAATATAAAGGCAAGGCGTGGTGCATCATGCCTGTAATCCCAGCACTTTGGGAGGCCAAGAAGGGTGGATTACCTGAGGTCAGGAGTTCAAGACTAGCCTGGCCAACATAAAGAAACTCCATCTCTACTAAAAACATTTTTTAAAAAATTAGCCGGGCATGGTGGCAGGTGCCTGTAATCCCAGCCACTAGGGAGGCTGAGGCAGGAGTACTTGAACCCGAGGGCAGAGGTTGTAGTAAGCCAAGACTGCACTCCAGCCTGGGTGAAAGAGCAAGACTCGTGTGTGTGTGTGTGTGTGTGTGTGTGTGTGTAAGATTAAGACCAAAAAAAGCTAATGAACAGAGTGATCCACCTGCCTTAGCCTTCCAAGGTGCTGGGATTACAGGCGTGAGCCACCACGCCTGGCCTAAAAACCAGTTCTCTATCGGATTTTTCCTAGGAAAAATTAAATGTATAAACAAGCCTATAAAAAGTTACTCTGAAACATGTGCACTTTTAAAATCTTTTTCTAATCTAGTCTTTTTAAAAAAATGATGAAAGATGAAGGCTGTGTAATACAATACCATGATTCACTGTTCTCATGACTCCCTAAACCAAATAAATTGTAACATGTTTATTATCTATTTTAATAAACAAAACACATGCTTACTTTGTCCTATCCTGATTTATAACTATTTCAAATTAACATTTTTTGCACAATAAACAAAACTTATTTTATTCTAGAAGTCTTTATTAGAATCTTTAATTAATTCATACTTTATTTATTTTATGGAGACAGAGTTTCACTCTGTCACCCAGGCTGGAGTGCAGTGGTGCAATCTTGGCACACTGCAACCTCTGCCTCCCAGGTTCAAGCAATTCTTCTGCCTCAGCCTACCGAGTAGCTGAGATTACAGGCCCAGGCCACCATGCCCAGCTAATTATTTTTAGTAGAGACAGGGTTTCATTATGTTCGCCAGGCTGGTCTTGAACTCCTGACCTCAAGGATCTGCCCACCTTAGTCTCCCAAAGTGCTGGGATTACAGGCATGAACCTCAGGGCCCAGCATTTCAGAAACAGTATAAATTGAACATTTGCTAGTTGATGATTACATACGTACCTCTGGATAATTGCTTCATGAATTCTACGATACATGTAACATTCTACGAACAACCACGGTGAGTAGAACCATCTTGATTTTCCATCACTTTCATTTATAAGACTCTGTTGGTATTCTAGGTACTGATTCCATATATCAGTATCAACAAATTTCTCAACCAAGGGGATAATTGGTTTATCTGTTTGCAATTCATTTCGTAATTTTGAAAGGAGAGAGATAGCTTTTTTTTCAGCTTCCACGCCTTCCTGCAAAAATACAAGAAAAATAAATTATGTGTCTGTCTCTGTGTTTGTATGTGCAATTCCTCTAGGGTAACATGCTTTTACAGACCTAAACTTAAGAAAGAAAGAAAAATGTTCAAAGCTATATTTTATATCCTTAAACATTACATTTAGACCTTTTTTTTTTTTGAGATGGAGTCTCACTCTGTCTCCCAGGCTGGAATGCAGTGGCGCGATCTTGGTTCACTGCAACCTCTACCTCCTAAGTTCAAGCAATTCTCCTGCCCAGCCTCCCAAGTAGCTGGGATTACAGGTACCCACAACCAGGCCTGGCTAATTTTTTATATTTTTAATAGAGATGGGGTTTCACCATGTTGGCGAGGCTGGTCTTGAACTCCTGACCTCGTGTTCTGCCCACCTCAGCCTCTCAAAGTGCTGGTATTACAGGTGTGAGCCAACACACCCGGCCAAGAACTCTTAAATTGAAAACCAACAAACACACACAGATCTCATATCAACAAAATCATGCCGTATCTACCTAAGTTCTGGCCTTTCTGTATCTTCAGTGGGATGACTGTTACCACAGAGGGAAAGGAACCCCCACCTCCATATCTTTCATGCTTCCATATGTTTTCTTCTTTCACCATTGACACCACTAGAAAAGGAATTGTGGCCTTCCTGGGTTTCTTTTGGCAGCTCAAATATTTTTTTAACTTGTTTTCCACCGAGTTCTGGCTAGGTGAGGGATATGCCAACAAGGTGCTAAATATTATCTCACATAACAGGGCAATCGGAGTGGGGGCAAATGTAATGGGATCAAAATGAGTAGAAAATGACTTGGCACCTCTGGTTTTACAACAGCAAGGTTCCTGCCTAATTAAAAAAAAAAAGAAAATGTAAGCCTAAAAAACATGTATATAATAAAATGTAGGAAATAAACATCAAGCCTGAGTATTTTTATAAAATCACTTTTATCATGTTGATATGCAGTCCCTACTTTCAGACCTATAATTTTCTCAACATAAACATCTCTCCAATCTTTCTTTTGTTCCAAGTAGAATTTATTTTGCTGCTAGACCAAAAGATTGAAGCTTTAGAGACTCCGCAGGTTCAGAAATAGAAGAAAAGAAGTTGTGACTGAGTTTTTTGAGAGCAACTCCCCCTCCTCCAAATCTCTAAAGTCTTAAACTTCAACTATTTTACTATGAATTCTAACAACTGAGATTTTATAGGGTTTCAGGTACCCGGCGCCCTTTTACAGAAGCATATACCTACAATGGCTAATTAAGAGTTATATCACTGCCAGTTTGTTCACTTACTTGAATTGATTTCAATGATTTACTGAACCCTGTATGTGTCTGACACTAACCTCAGGGCCAGAGAAAGATGAATAAAGCCTGGCCCTTTCTCCAAGAGACACACATCTGCCAAACCAGGTAGTCTAAGGGGATGGACGTTTGACCGCTGAGATGAGAGGAGAGAAAATTGTGTGGCATGGCTCCTTTGGAGACAAGCCTGGTCCTGTGATAGGTGGGGGCTCAGGGAGCTAGGAGAACACATGAGGCCCAAGGAGAGTGGCCGTAGGCAAAAGAGAGGCATGAAAAAGGAGACAGAAAGGCTACCGAAAGCAGACTTCACCTGTGTCAACATTTTATTTACATCTTGCTCTGTGCCCAGTAGAGTGTGAAATGGGGTAGGACCAGAAGGAAAATAAACTCTGCCTTCTCACTCTTAACCAGTACAGTCATGGGTTATTATGGGCATACAGGCCAAACAGCTATATACTAAGACTTCATTAATTACTACATTCTAGATAACTCTGGTAGAAAAAACTGAAATTACAAAAGCATTATGTGGCCAGGTATTGGGATTCACTCAGGGTGGCTGGCAAAATATTAGGGAAATATTAGGGAAAGTTAGAAGATCATAGTCTCAAACCTTTTGGAAGGCCAAAAGGTTTTAATGGCATGGGCTGAAGGCAACCAGTTCATTACATTAGAATTTTAAGTCATAGGGTAAGATTAGAATAATAAAGCTTCCCCAGTTAAGTCTGTTTATGCCACATTTCTTTGTCTCTACTCTGTTTACTCATGTAAACTTGGTGCTGATGGCCCTCTCAGGGGGAGGTGGAAGGAGAATCACCCACTAATAGTGTTTATTCTGGGCCCTGGAACCAAGATCTTTTATCATTCGTAAAACCACTCTTTTAACCATGTTAATTATCCACAAGCATGTTCACTTAGAACCTCTGTTATTAAATCTATACTGAATAAAAGCAAGGAGGACAGGGAATAATGGTCAGTTAGCTGCAATTGCCCTGTGAAAGCAGCTGACAACCATTCCTACCCCACTCAGATTCACTGTATTCTAGTGTGTGTGAGTGCATTTATTCATCCTGTCATTGAGTCAGGGTCTGCAGGACACACCTCTGCAGGAGGTGATCAACATCTCAGGTGGTGACCCCGAAGTGATCGAGGTCTCAGCCAGGCACAGTGGCTCGCACTTGTAATACCAGCACTTTAGGATGCTTAGACGGGAGAATTGCTGGAATCTAGGAGTTTGAGGCTGCAGTGAACTCTGATTGCACCACTGCACTCTAGCCTGGTAGACAGAACAAGACCCTGTCTCAAAAAAACAAAACAACAACTAAAACAAAAGTATTATGGTAATTTGCTTACGTATATGACCAATTACTTAAGTGAACTATCCAAATTTGGCTAAATTATACTTGTGTGATAAAGGTTTGTCATTAATCAAAATTACGTTTATGTGACGAACATTAAAACCATTCATCAATGGAACTGTCAGTGTCTAAATTAAGCTGGATTTCAGCAATAAGGAATAGGTAATCCCTGTGTTATGTCAAGATTAGTTTCAAAGAAGTCAATATAAAAGAAGTTGAAAGCAATAGAACATTACACTCAAACTGCCTATGTGTTGTCTTGCTCCATTTCAATTGGGCCAAGGAGAAAAGACCACCAACCATTTCCCTAAATCTCTGTTTTCAACTCTTTAAAAAAATGTACTGGTGTATGGATGCTCTTTTATAGCCTATTGTGTAAGAGAAAGATTACTGAACCTACAAGTTTAAAGACCTGTCTCTAACATAACATAGTTATTCAGAGTTTTCCTCATTCATTAATTGAATGGACAAAGTGATTTCTAAAGTCATATTCTGCACTGAATTCTAATGAGTCCCAACTTTAATCAGTGCAATGTGTCAATTATAATTCATATCACTGACCTTTGCATACCAGTTTGAGCTTCCAGAACTCAAGATTTCAAGTTAGTAATATAAATACTGCAGCTCAAATTAAATTTGAAATCTAAAAAGCTTTTCTGAGCAACTCAATTGCTTAGTCACTTGACTAAGTCAATTGCAAGTCTGTTGTCTACTCACCAATTATTATTTTATTTATTTATTGTGATGGAGTTTCATTCTTGTTGCCCAGGCTGGAGTACAATGGCGCAATCTCGGCTCACCACAACCTCCACCTCCCGGGCTCAAGCAATTCTTCGGCTTCAGCTTCCTGAGTAGCTGGGATTACAGGTGCGAGCCACCACGCCTGGTTAATTTTGTATTTTTAGTAGAGACAGGGTTTCTTCACGTTGGTCACGCTAGTCTCGAACTCCCGACCTCAGGTGATCTGCCTGCCTTGGCCTCCCAAAGTGCTGGGATTACAGGCGTGAGCCACCATGCCCAGAGGAGACTAGTCACTATTTATAACATTGCATATATTAGAAAATATATTCTGAGGTCTAAATAACTAACAGAATTAATTGTTGGAATATAATTATTTTCTAAATTGCAGATTGGCTGTTCTATCTTCATTTCAACATATTACATTAAAACCAAATGAATATTTGGCCCACCTATTGATTTTTACATTTAAAGGAAAACTGGTACCTTCAATAACTATTTATTACATTTCTGTTGAGAATTAATAAATAAAAGTTGAAACAATTCTTACCTCTCCATGTTTCTCAAAAAATTCACTTTTATGTCGATGCAATGTATCAATAACCTTAGTTAAGATCTGTGGTATTCTGTCTTTAACTGTAAGATATGCAAATGACCTAGAAAAAAGAGTCACATACAATATATTACTTAATAGCATCAATACTAGAAGACTGGCCATCTTTTAGTTTCTGGAACATTTCATGTTTATTAAACTGCTCATACAACTATTAAAAGGTAGAGAAGTATTGTGTGATTACTACATTAAGACATAAGAAAACCTGAAAACTTATCTGGTATGTGGTGGAAGCAAAGCAGTCTTGGTGCCTCTCATCCCAGATTCTCCCATGGAGTCTCTTTAATCATTCTTTTCTTTCCTACTCTGTTCCTTTTATTTTCCTAAATCAGAAACTCCTTTAGCAATAAGATAGGGAATGGATTAGGGTCAGAAAACAAACAGGCTCTTGTTCCCGGGCTACTATCTACTAAGTCACCTGCTTAGAAAGATGAATGAAGTGGCTGGGCAAGGTGGCTCACGCCTGTAATCCCAGCACTTTGGGAGACTGAGGTGGGCGGATCACCTGAGGTCGGGAGTTCAAGACCAGCCTGACCAACATGGAGAAACCCTGTCTTTACACAAAATTAGCTGCCGTGGCACATGCCTGTAATCCCAGCTACTCAAGAGGCTGAGGGAGGAGAATCACTTGAACCTGGGGGGCGGAGGTTGCCTTGAGCTGAGATCACGCCACTGCATTCCAGCCTGGGCAAGAAGAGTGAAACTCTGTCTCCAAAAAAGATAAAACGAAAGAGGAATGGAACAATACATCTAAAAATTACCTGAAAGTGTCTAATGTGCTTGAACAACATAAAGAATTAAAGGCACTTATAAGCCTGTTTCCCTCGATTCTCTGTCTATATTCTAAATCAATTTTAACATTTTTCAAAGGTTTTCCCCTTCTCTGCCTTCTCTATCTGCAGACTCCTTCCATCCTATTCTGCCCCTAAGCAAATGAAGGCATGCTCCTGTCTCTCTCCCAGTCAAAAAATTAGAAATTTTATAGAAGTGTCCAAGAATGAAGCAAGCGGGAGATGAAGAAAAATTTAAACCTGCATTAAAAAATTAAAGACATTCTTGATTTTATACATACAAAAACCAAGACTTACAGATTATTATTTTACATCATGTTTAAGAAAATACATATGATTCAGTTACAAAAAAAACAAGATTTGGTAGTGAAATTCTGTGCAGTTTTAAATATAGCGCACAGAGCTTAGCTGACTAGCGTTTTTATCTTCGAATCACAAGGGACCATTGTTAAATTATTAGGTTGTGGCCGGGTGCGGTGGCTCACGCCTGTAATCCCAATACTTTGGTAAACTGAGGTGGGCGGATTACAAGGTCAGGAGATCATGACTATCCTGGCTAACAAGGTGAAACCCTGTCTCTACTAAAAATACAAAAATTAGCTGTGGTGACATGCGCCTATAGTCCCAGCTACTCGGGAGGATAAGGCAGGAGAATCACTTGAACATGGGAGGCAGAGGTTGCAGTGAGCCAAGATCGCACCATTGCACTCCAGCCTGGGTAACAAAGAGCGAAACTCCGTCTCAAAAAAAAAATTATTAGGCTGTAACTTGAGCACTTCTTCAAAAAGTTTCCTCAAATGATAGCTATAGAACTTACTTTCTGACTCTGAGGTGCTTTCAGTCTCACCCAAAACAGTCATTAGGTTTTAATGTGCATAATAACTATGTTGATCAGATTTTAATTTTTAAAAATCATTAATAAAATCAATCACTAACACCTCAGAGGGTGGGCAGGAACATTAAATCAACTGTCACTTGAATTTTCCCAGGCAGTAGATACAGTAAGTCGTTTTTTGAGATTTTACTTTAATTGGAAAGTACTACTGTTGTTCTAACTACTACAGTATATTTCCTGCACCTCCGGAGTAAAGTTTCTGGCCAGGACTGTTGTAAGGCCAGAAGCCCTAAGGCACAAAATTGAAGGAGACACTCTATACTTGCATGACCTGAGACTGAGCGCCTGCTTCAATTTTGGGCCATTGGCGCCACTTCAGTGGCCTCAACCTACTTTCTGCCCAGGTTTAATTTCTTCAAAGTGTTCTCGTCTTTTGTAATATTTTGAAGTACGGACTAATTTCAAATATAAATTTGGCCATTCAATTTATGCAAACAGATGTTATTTGCACAGTCACCTGCAACTTTACCCAAGAATCTGCAGCGGGACGACGATAAAGCAAAAAACTACAGGCATTTCTTACTGTGAGATTATGATTTGATTACAGGAAGAAACCCGTTTCTTAATAGCTCTGAGATCCCCAACTCTTACGGAGAATTTTAACGGGCCCAAACGGCGTTTACCAAGGGAGTAAGTAAAAGGTAACCGCCAGCAACAGACCGCGAAGCTGAAACTTGTCCTGATCCTTCCAAGCAGCCGCCGCGGGCGGACTCCCTCCCCGGGGCCGCCTCCACACGCCTCCGAGTCAGTCCGCGAAACCCTCAAAGGAGTCCCAGGAAGCCGCGCCCGGCGACGGGACTCGAACAGCCGAATCTCCTGCAGCTTGCCGGGGAGCGGGCGCCCTCCGCTTAATCCCCACAAGCTCCCGGCGAGGCCCGGCTTTCCGCAAAAGTTGGGAGGATAAAAATGAGACGAACCCCACGTCCCGTCCTGAAAGAGATGCTGGGACGCCAGCCATCACGATCCGCGATCCCGGCCGCAAAACTCGGCGTTCAACCGCAACAGGAACAGAGGCGGGACCGCGGCGAAGGAGGAGCTCAGAATGGGGGTGATGTAGTTTTAAAAAAAAAAAAGTGCTTTTGAATAAAGGAACTTTATTTAGTTCCCGTACAAGCGGCAAACAGTGGCTGGCCAGAGGACCCAAACTTCCGGGGACGAAGGCGGGCACAGCGGAGGGCAATTAGAGGAGCGACTATGAAAGTTAGCGGAAGGCGGAAGCAGGCAAGGACCGGGAGGTCCCAGGGCCTAAGGAGCGGAAGGGGTCGCGGCGGCTCGGATCACGTGGTCAGACAGTCACGTGGCCAGAGTTGCTTGCTGTCCGTGGGACCGGAGTTCAGTGCGCCTGCGCAGTATTGGGAGCCCGGGAGGGAGCGTCCTTCCGGGCGAGGGGGTGGCTGTGTTCGTGAGCGGCTGCTGCTGCGGCTCTTTCCCTGCAGTCCTGCCGAGGAAGCGTGCGTCCCTGGCGCTTCCTTCTTCTCTTCCGGCGGAGAGGTTAGTGTATAATTGCTTTTCCCTAGCAGCTCCTGTGTCCGACTCGGAGGTCTGCGCCGCGGCTCCTGGCTCCCCGGAACATGTAGCGTTGCGGGTTACGCCAGTGCGGCAGTGACCCCTAGCCTCTTACGGTGATCTTTGGTCGACTTAGCTGGGAGTGAAAAGCACGCAATCAATTGGTGAACCCTTTTTTTGAGCCAGTGCACCTCAGTAACTGCAGAAATCGATAGAATAATTTTGGGTTTGAAGAATCGGACTGCATGCCCCCAAAGATGAGCGCCACTTTTCCCTTAAATCATAGCCTAGCTGTAACTGATTTTCATAATTGGTATCATTGTTCTCTAAAAGTTGAAATGTGTCCGGGAACTGAGTAACTGCCTTGTGTTTCATTTTAAAAATTCGATCGAATGCCTGCTATGTGCTGGGTGCTATTGTCAGGAGATACAGTAGGAAAAAACGCAAAAATGTGTATCCGCAAGCATACCCTTCATTATAGAGGGAAAACCCACAAATCTGCCCTTTTCCTCTTTTATATTTTTCGTTTATCGTTCTCTGACATATTTTACTGATTTACCATGTTTTTGTCTGTCACTCCCAATGTAATGTAAGGTTCAAAAGGTAAGGAATTTTTTTTTTATTTGCAGCTGTATAGTCAGCAACCAGGACAATGCCTGGCGCATGGTAAGAACTGAGTTCATGTTTGCAGTATCAATTAATAAATTAAAAATTAAAAGGTATGCAAGTGATGTTAAACAATGGAGAAATGCAAAGTGGACGAAGGTAGAGAATGGGTGCTGGTTGTGTGTTTTAAATGTAGTAGCTGGGGAAGGCTTCACCGAATAGAAGACATTTTAGCAAACATTGAAGGAGGTCAGAGTGTGAACCTTTCAGATCCCTGAGAGAAGAGCATAAGGAACAGTAAGTGCAAATATCCAGAGACCAGAATGAGGAGGATAATAAGCAAAGAAGAGTGCTGTCAGAGTGGTGATAAAGGGCCGGAGAATGTAGTGCCATGCAAGCCATTTTGGGGGCTTTGGCTTTCCCTCCACCCCTAGACGAAGTCACACACTGTTGCCCTGGCTGCAACCTCTGCCTCCCGGATTCAAGCGATTCTCCTGCCTCAGCCTCCCTAGTAGCTGAGATTACAGGCGCCCACCAGCACGCTCAGCTAATTCTTTTGGTATTTTTAGGAGAGACGGGGTTTCACCATGTTGGCCAAGCTGGTCTCGAACTCCTGACCTCGTGATGATTCACCCGCCTCAGCCTCCCAAAGTGTTGGGATTACAGGCATGAGCCACTGCGCCCGGCCTTCTTTGCTGTTGTTCAGGCTGGAGTGCAGTGGCGCAATCTCAGCTCACTGCAACCTCCGCTTCCTGGTTTCAAGCAATTCCGGTGCCTCAGCCTCCCGAGTAGCTGGGATTATAGCCCCAGGCCACCATGCCCGGCTAATTTTTGTATTTTTAGTAGACACCGGGTTTCACCGTGATGGCCAGGCTGGTATGGAACTCCTGACCTCAAGTGATCCCTCCCAAAGTGCTGGGATTACAGGCGTGAGCCACCACGCCTGGTCGGAGGGCTTTAGCTTTTATTGTAAGTGATCCTCAAGCCATAGCCAGATTTTGCACTGAGAAGAGATTCGGCTTGAAAGGATCACTTTGGTTGCTGTGTTGAGAAGAATCTGTAGGGGAACCAAAACAGAATCAAGGAAACTGGTTAAGAAGCTGTTACAATAATCCATGGGAAGGATAGCAGTTTGGAACACGTAGTATTATTATTGATGATGAGCAGTGGTCCAGATAAGGCCTGTGGGATTTACTGACAAGTTGGATATGGAGAATAAAAAGAAGAGTCAAGGTGGACTCCACGTTTTTGGCTTAGCAGTTATGAAGATGTTAATTAGTGCTCATGAATGGGGAAGACAAAAAAAAAGGGATGCAAGGGATTCTAGGTGTATAAGAAAGATTTTGATGGTAGACCATGGCATGTAAACTGGATATAGAGGAAGTGAAGTCATGAGGAGTGAGAGAGAGTGAAAAGGTGGTTGGATCATTGGCTTGTGGGTCCTGTTGGAGTTGAAGAATTGTTGGAATTGGGTAATAGAAGGAGTGAGATACAAAGATAGGAGATAGAGTTTAGAGAATAGAATGCATGAAATTGAGATGAGGAAGTGGCATGTATTGATAATGACAAAAGAGCCCCGTCTGATAGAAAAACAATGAAAGCCACAAATGTAATCTTAAGCTTTCTAGAAGCTGCAATGATAAAAATAAGAATGGGCTGGGCGCAATGGCTCATGCCTGTAATCCCAACACTTTGGGAGACCTGGGGTTAGGGGGAGCACCTGATGTCAGGAGTTCAAGACCAGCCTGTCCAACATGATGAAACAGTGTGTCTATTAAATACAAAAAATTAACTGGACATGGTGGCAGGCACCTGTAATCCCAGCTACTCAGGAGGCTAAGGCAGGAGAATCGCTTGAACCTGGGAGGCGGAGGTTGGGGTGAGTCAAGATTGAACCATTGCACTCCAGCCTGGGCAGCAAGAGCGAAACTCCATCTCAAAAAAAAAAAGGTAAAATTTATTTGAATAATGTGTTTTATTTAGCTCAGTATACCCAGACATATTAATTCAACAAGTAATTGATATAAAAATTGAGATATTTTACTTTTAAAAAAATTAAGGCTCAATTTATACCAGCCAGAGTTCAGTGGCTCAGTAGCAATGTGAATTGTCTAGTGGCTACTTTACAGGTCAGAGGATAATGACCATGGGCATGAGTGGCTGAGGAAGAATGAGAAACAGGACCATTCAGAAAGGGAGATCAGGGAACTCAGAGGCCAGGGTATTGGAACAATCATCCCATCACTGATCAGCATGGATATAGAAATCATTAAGAATTGACACAATCATAGTAATATCTGATTTTTTACATTCATTGTAATAGTGCTTCATGAAGCCTCCATATTAAGGCAGTCATTAAGAGTTTTGAGGTAAAGAATTTAGTCAAACAGGTCAGGTGCAGTGGCTCACACCTGTTTCCCAGCAATTTGGGAGGCCGAGGCAGGCGAATCATTTGAGGTCAGGAGTTGGAGACCAGCCTGACCAAGATATTGAAACCCCATCTCTGCCCATATATATAAATTAGCTGGGCTTGGAGGCACACATGTGTAATCCCAGCTACTCCGGAGGCTGAGACAGAATTGCTTGAACCTGGGAGGTGGGGGTTGCAGTGAACTGAGGTGTCACCACTGCACTCCAGCCTGAGTGACAGAGTGAGACTCCTCATCTCAAAATAAATAAATAAATAAATAAATAAATAAATAGAATTTACTCAGAATGAAAGAATACAGGACAGTAGACAAATTCCTAAAATATTTTATAGTTAGGTTCTTCAAAATTAAGGGGTTCAACTGCATGGAATGGTACTAACTAAAGGTGAACTACAGTAGCCAATTGGACTAGAATGAATGAAGCACAGAGTACCAACTTTTGAATGGATTTTGAAAGCAGGAGGTTCTACCTCCTAAGTAGCACCTCTGAATCATCTTTGTCCTTATCTGGAGAGAGGTAATAAATACAAGCTAGTGGGTAAGAGTGTTGACTTTGGAATTGGGAAAGGCTGGCTTTTATTTTAATTACACCTCTGTAGCTTCTTAGCAGTAAGCACTTAGCCTCTTTAAACCTCAATTTCCTACGCAGTGAAATGGGATCATTATGAGGTGAAGCTGAGTCACTTGAGTGTAGAAAGCGCTCAGAGTGATGTTGGCGTCTCTTTCGGTTCCTCCTGCACATCATCACCAAAAATTTGTTTCATGAACATACATTTGACCGTGTGACTCTCACAGCTGAAAGCTCAGCCTTCTCCCCACCTGTAGAGACTCTCTAGGATGACTGTGTAGATCCTTCAGTGATCTGGCCACCGGCTCTTTTTTGGTCCTTGTCTCCTGCAACTCACTCCTACCTTCCCTGAAATTGCACCCTGTTTGTGAGATACAGGACTTTATGCCTAGGGTGTTTGACTTGCTGATCCATCTGCCCTTTCAATGGTTCACATGTCACCTCTGTGACAATGCCGCACTCCTCACATGCTCCTTTCTCCGGACTAGAGCAGTTGGTGCATCTGATACTTTTCCTCTGCTAGGCTTTGAATTCTGAGATCATTAATTCATGTATCTCTGGCATATAACATGTTATTTTTAAAAAAGAATTATTGATTACTATAGTTTAACTTTTTTTGGCGGGGGGCAGGAAACAGAGTCTGACTCTGTTGCCCAGGCTGGAGTCCAGTGGGGCGATCCTGGCTCACTGCAACCTCTGCCTTCCTGATTCAAGCAATTCTGTATCTCAGCCACCTGAGTAGCTGGGATTAGGGCATGCACCACCATGCCTGGCTAATTTTTTTTTTTATTTTTAGTAGAGATGGGGTTTTTGCCATTCTGTCCAGGCTAGTCTTGAACTCCTGGCCTCAAATGATTTCCTCCCCAACTTCAGCCTAACAGAGTGCTGGGATTATAAGCGTGAGCTACTGCGTGTAGCCTGCTGTAGGCTAACTTTAACACATTTTGTACTGTAAGGGGGAAATTCTGTTTCCCTTATCTGGAATGTTCATGTATGTACCTGACATGCCTCATGCATGCCCATGCCCAGCCACGAGCTGAAAAGCCCCTTCCTCTTCTAGAATCAGCTTAGAACTTTCTGGGAGCCTTTCCTGATTTTGCTTTCCCTGAGACAGAAAAAAGCAGGCTGGAGTG